TGAAATACTTTTGAGTAGGTAGAATGTTCCTAGTTACTTGCTCAATTTCAAAACAAAAACATCCTTTCTATTTTCAAAAACAAGCACCAATACTTTCAAAAACACCTTTCAAACTTGAAAACATTTTCAAAAGATCAATACTTTGTATACATTCTTACGAACGAGAATCATTACAAAGTTCGCCTAAATGATGACGCCTTTTCAAGATACTTTCCAAAACCACACAAAAACACAATTTCAAACAAAAGCAAGTGATCTAGCAAGTAACTATGAATCCATGGAAAACCATGGATGAAAAGGATGCTAATATCTTCCCTTTTCATAATCTACCCCCCGAACTCAAGAAACAATCTCAAAGGTCTTTTTTGTGCTTTTTCACCTTTCCTTTTGGATAAAAGAAGAGTCAGTGATGACTCTTACTAACCGCGACATTTGCGATCAAACGCAAAACACCCAAGTCAGTTCTCCCACCGTATCACAGAACTGGAGACTCTGTCGGGGAGTATTCTAAAAGTAGGGTTACCTTAGAGCTAGATCACATTTACTTTCTTTCTTTGTTTGACTTGTATGCTTTACATTATGGTTCTTTGTTTGAGTTTGAATCCTCTACTCGGATTTGGGATACCTTATAGATAAGTAGCAATACATTGTGAAAACTGTGTGGGATATACCGACATGGTCTAAGCAATAGTTATGTTAGTACAACATATTTGTGGGTACCGGTAGCCCTTGAGTAGTCAAGGAGAATACGGGGCCGCTGAGTGATGTCATAGAGCACTAATGAACTTTTAGAATGTTTACTTGACCAACTTGTCCTTTAGGACATAGTGAGATGACCGACTTTGGTGCAGTCCGAAGTTGGTAGATACTCGATACTACACTCGTTGAGGTTTGGTTTTTTGGGATATTCCGGTCGTCATTAAAGAGGTTTATGTTGAAACAATGATCAAAGAAACAAACCAGTGATATTGAGCTCCTTAGAACCCGATTACTATTGCTAGGACAGGTTTGAGCCAACTAAACTTCAAGAGGGTACTTACCTATGAGACTCCATGCAAGCCTAAACCTAAGGACTTATTTTCTTTGTTTGTATATGTTTACTTGTACATAACATCATAAACATCATAACATCATACTCATACTCACTAACCATTTCAAGAATTTTTGGGATTTATCTTTGTTCTGTTTTGTAGGACATGGATTCTATTCGCAGGAAAACTATTCAAGTCAATCTCGTAAGGATCCCTCCTCAACTCAAAGAGTTAACATCAAGGATTCCTGAAAATTCCCCATTTACCGAAAGACATGGTCGCCTACTAAACTTGGTTACCTCCAACACTGATGAAGACATGATGAAGATGCTCTTTCAGTTCTTTGATCCCTTACACCATTGCTTCACATTTCCCGATTATCAACTTGTGCCAACTTTGGAAGAATTCTCCCGACTCTTGAAGATTCTCATTCTCAATCAACTACCTTTCAAAGGTACAGAAAGAGATCCAAATCCAGAAGAGATTGCTCAAGTTCTACACTCACAACCATCTGATATCACAACTAATTGGGAAACAAGGAGTGGTGTCAAAGGTTTCCTAGCAAAGTTCTTGTTTGAGAAAGCCCAAAACTGTTGGGACTCTTTGGATTTGCAAGCCTTTGAGGAAATTGTGGCTCTCCTCATCTATGGGATGGTTTTGTTTCCAAATCCTGACCAACTCATAGATGTGAACGCCGTCAAAATCTTCATGTCTCGTAACCCGGTGCCTACTTTACTAGGGGACATCCTACATTCCTTTCACACTCGTACCATGAGGAAAAAAGGTATCCTCATGTGTTGCACTCCTCTCTTGGCAAGATGGCTTATTTCGCATCTTCCCCAATTTGTATTGAAGAACGAGCAAGGTTCAAGGTGGTCACATAGGTTGATGACGCTCAAACATTCAGATATTCATTGGTGTTCCCGCTCTTTGGAGAATGTTACTATCGTCGACCGTTGTGGAGAGTTACCTAATGTCCCTTTGCTTGGCATTAGAGGAGGTATCACTTACAACCCTTGCTTAGCCTTAAGACAGTTTGGTTACGTCCGGAGGTATGGTCCCCATGAGATGCTTATTCAAGGAGTGGTATTTGACTACGAGAATGACGATCAAGGTCACCGTCAGAGGTTTATCCGAGGCTGAAGGATGTTGAACAAGGTGGATAGTAAGATGTTAGGACACAAGAATTCCATTCCCCTCGAGGCTTACCTTAAATGGGTGCGAGCTAGTGCTGAGAAACTTGTGATGCCTTATCCCTCCATCTTACCAGTCATCATGGAGCATGTGGTCGAAGGAGATGTTCCCTACACTATCCTCCATCCCGACATGCCTACCTCTCTCGAAGACTTACAAAAGGGTTGGATTCAGCTGAAGGAAGAACAAGATACTTTCGAGGCTCAGTTCTATGCTAGTGAAAAGAGAGTCTTGGAGCTTACAAAGCAACTACAAGAAGAGCAAAGTGTGAACGCCTATCTCGCACCGAAGAGGATGCGTTAGTCTTTTTATCTTAGAAAGTTATTTTGTAAGACCAAGAGGCATGATGTAATATTTTTTGTTTTGTCTAATGAGAATTAACGTTTGTTCATACAAATTTAAATTTCATTAGTCCTTGAAATCATTTGCATGTACATATTCCATGCATCATAACATGACATGTTTTCGCATAACAGGTTTCCTTATCTTTCTGTTGTTTATTTCAGCAAGATGGATCTAGAGCAAATTGTGAAGGATCTCCAAACCCAGAATTCTCAGTTTCAGGAAACTCTACTAGCCCTAGCCAAGGGGCAGCAAGATATGATGGCTTTGCTGGCCGTTAAGAAGAAACCAAAGAAGAAAGCTCTACTCAACATGGGAAGAAGGTTCAAGGAGACAATCCGTCAGATCCCAGTATAAGAAGATTCATCCGAAGAGGACGAGAACCAGATTGGTGAGGTCAAGAGTACTCAGGCTGACTGTATCAATGATCAAGTATTCGATGATGATTATTTTAACGAGCAGTATCCCCCCGCTGATATCAAATACAAGCAGTTAGAAGATAAATTGAAAGTTGTTGAAATCCAAGCCGTCCCCGGTTTAGATTTTGATGATTTGGGTTTGATCTCTGGAGTAGTCATTCCCCATAAATTCAAAATACCAATCTTTGCAAAGTACGATGTGTGTTTCAAAATACCAATTTTCAAACTTACATCCCTTTTATAGAAACCTCGACATTAGATCGTTGCATTTTCAAATATCTTTAAATCACACTCATTTAGCAAATAAATCAATTTTTAACCAAAAAACTGATATTTCAAAAGGTTCCTATAGAATACTATAGATACATATGGCGCCAGTACCTTCCCTTTGTATAACCAACCCCCAAATTTTAGATCTCTTATAATGAATTGTATTTTGCTTTACTTCTAGTATTGCTCTCACTTTGCATGTTTATGGTTTTTATTTCGCTCTTTTCCCATTACCTTGGAAATAATAAAGCGTGGTGGTGACTTTCACTGTATGAGTCAAGTCAATCAACGACTTTGGTCTCAAATTTTCACCGCTACACATCACAGAGATTGTTTGTTTACTTATGATGGTACAACTATTTCATGGAGACATGCAAAATTAATCATAACAACAACTTCATTTAATTATGAAGAAACTTTTAGCACTACATGAGACAATTCAAGAATGTGCTTGATTAAGATCCCAAATTCAACGCACACAAAAGACTTGTGATTTGAATTCTGAAAAGAAATACAAAAACGATATATGAATATAATAATGCATGCATTGCTCAACTGAAAGATGGTTACATTAAAGGAGATCGAACAAAACATATTTCTCCAAAGTTCTTTTTCACACATGATCTTCAGCAAAGATGTGATTTAAGCTTCAACAAACTTGTTCATCTTGTAGACCTTTTAGCGCAAAAGATTGATCTTCATCGTTGAAGAAATCATAGTTCAGCTAAGAGGGAGAAATGAATATGTTCACCTCAGGGAGAAATAAATTTTTGTTAAAAGGATATTGTACTCTTTTTCCTTCACTAGATTTTTTCCCCACTGGATTTTTACTAGTAAGATTTTCCCCACCATTAATTTTCTCATTAAATTATAGAGTTTCTTTCTCCACCTAGTATCCTTCTTCTTCCACACTTCGCGAAAAATCCAAAATACTTTCATAATTCGGATATGCGTATCTGATCGCACCTATTCCATAAAAATTTATGAAAAATATATTTTTGGATATGGATCTCCGAATGCACCTCTTTTTTTTTTTACTAAAAAATGGCTTTAAATATGTATATCCGAATTTTACTCGGTTATAAAAATTTAAGAATACAACTAAAAATTAAATTAAATTAAATTAAGTGTTAATAAATTTTTTTGGATTTTTCGAAAATATAAAAATGAAAAATAAATCAAATAAAATAGAAAAATAAAGAATTTAAGATTTTTAAGGTGAAATCTCTTTTGTTTCCTAATGAATTGACATAATAAAATTTTATGAATTTCTCAGACCTAATTGTGTTGAGAATTTTTTTTGGTACACTTTTAAGTGTTGAGAATTTCACATTTTCGAAAAAATATAAAAAGTTTATAAACACTTTATTTTATTTTTAATTATATTCTAAATTTTTTATAATAGAATATTTTTAAAAAGATTTTAAGTTTTTCAGGAAGTGTGGAAGAAAGATAGTAAATATAAATAAGAATTCTGTAAAATTATTATAATATAAATTTGCTTAACTGCTCTCACGGTATCATAAATTAATTTCAATAAAAAATGTAACAAGTAGACGTAAAATAGAGTCTTAATTATATATTAAAAAAAAGAAAGAAAGTAACGTCATCAAAATGATTGTGATCGCACGTAACCGCGTCGACCAAATATCAAGATTTCCCCGATCTGGTTTTCTTCTCCCCACACCTTTTCACTTTCATCGTGATCATCGATTTCAAAATCATTGGTACCATTCGCAACAAAATGGGCGTAGGAATTTCAGTCTTAATAGCCCTAAAAGCCACAACACTCTTACTCCTCTTCGCATACCTGAAAAACCTAGGCTTCTCAATTCTCTCTCTTCCCTTTCTCTACTCTTCCTTAATCTCCTTCCTCGTCTCACTCGCTTCACATCCATCCATCGATCTTCCGCTGCTCCTCGGCAAAACCTCCGACGGAACATTCCCAATTTCCTCCCTAATCATCTTCAGTCCTTACCTCTACTTCGTTAGACTCTTCTCCGCTGTTCGCAGACGCTGGAGCGGTGAACCGCCTTATACGGAGGTTTCTGATGGACTTTATGTTGGTGGTTGGCCTTCTTCTCCGGAGAAGTTGCCGCCCGGGGATCCTGCTGTTGTTGATTGTACCTGTGAGTTTCCGAGGTTGAAGGGGCTTACGGGTGGCTTGCCGTATAGGTGTCTTCCTACTTGGGATACCAGGTCTCCGAGGCCGGCTGATATTGAATTGGCTGTTAAATGGGCGTGTCGGAAAAGGGATCTTAATAGGCCTGTTTTTGTTCATTGTGCTTATGGTAATTGCTCTTCAACTTCGCTTTATTTCAATTATAGTAACTTGTTTTTCATTCAATGTTAGTTTTCTGTTGGTCAAACATGCCAAACAGGTCAAACATGCCATTGATGTGGCCTTTGGCGTCATATAGGTGAAAGTTTGTTTTTGGTTATCTGTCATATTATTGTGTTTGCTTATTGTGGGTTGATTTTATGATTCTTATAAGATAAATGAAAAATTACTGCAAATTTGATGCCCAATAAAAAGAAATCACTTTTGATGTTAGCAAAGTTTGTTCTTTTTTTTATGTTAGCAAAGTTTGTTCTTTTTATGTTAAATATATCTTTGTAGGGCATATTGAAAGGTGACACTGGTTTATGCTGCTATATGTCTATTATAAGAAACCCAACAAAAAATGTTTGCTTTGTTATATTGTGCGGATTAGTGGATTTAGTATTCCCTTATACTGAAAGAAAATGTAAAGGTATTGAGAAAAAATGTAAAACCCACATATAATAAAAAAGACTAATTGTTGTTGCATTAATTAATGAATACATTCAGAGCAAACATTAGAGATGACAGAAGTGAAGTATGCAGAAACTATTAATATTCTTAGGTCTCTGTATCAGGCACATGTATTGACATAACTTCTGACTGACTAGTGACTAGTTGCGCTACTGTAATATATTGGGCTCCCTTTGGTCATATGTGTCCGCAGCTAACTTACAAGTTAGCAATGATACACACATGATATCACTCCACAAATGCATTGTATCCACAACTTAAAATGAGTAGAGTTGTAAACAGTTTATCAGACCTATAAAATATTCTCAATATAATCTGAGTTACAAAGTTAATGTTCTATTACTTCACTCCTGTCAAACTATGTTGTCAATAGTGCGCTATAGCAAACTAGCGTAGAGTAATTAGGGTTCGGTGTGCCGTTATTTGGTTCAGCGTGCCACTATCAGCAATAGCAAGTGTTGTGGGCTCGTGGCCACTAATTGCGTCCGCTATTATATGCACTATTAGGGTTTCGTGGATAAATTTCTCAATTTATTTGTTTAAGAGGTTTTCTTTTTTATTTAGGGTAATTTCAATCCAAACCGGTAATGTCCTGTTCTTTAATTTCTTATGTTCTTGCTCAAAAATCATTGTTTTTCTTACTACTTTTAGAGTTTTAGTGCAATCAGAGTTGTGAATCGCGGCCGCTAAGGCCGCTATCGCGGCACACCGGAGTGGTGCGGCACCCACCCACGCGATTCATTGGGTGCGGTTGCGGAGATTATTTAGCGGGTGCTATGCCCGCGAAACCGGGTTGCGGGTTCTTCCCAGGCGGAGCGGTTTTGACTGATTTTCATTTATTTTCACTTTTTTCTGGATTTACGAAAATCAAGATGAAAGAAAAGATGTAGAAGAACAATGAAGATGGAGAGAAGATGAAGGAGATTTGTTTTATCGATAAAAAGAGTTCAAAAGTGAAAAAGCAACTTGTTCAATCTTATCAACAACAGATGTAAAGTAATTTAATATAAAAATTATACTTAACAAACAGCTGTAAAATTAATGACCTACATCTATAAGTAATAAAAATAATTGTTAAATTGGATTTGACTCTAAAAAATTACTCCTACCTGAAAACTTAAAGAAACTTAAAGGCATCTTAAAGGCAACATTAATAATAAGCATCGTTCTTTGTTTGACATTAGGTTTTATAAATATTTTATGAGTGTTGTGAAAAAAAAATTAGTTTAGTATTACAACATGACATATGTTTTATAGATTATTATATAATTATTAGTATACAAAAAGTTATCCCGTTATCTGGGATCCCGCTATTCCCACTATTCCATTCTCAGGGGTCGGCCGCTCCGCTCCGCTATCTGGGATTAACAACTCTGAGTGCGATTATGTTATATTCTTCTCTACTTAAGTTTTATTACTCTATATTTTAAGTTTTTCAACTATAAAGTTTGATGGATGGTCTCTCTAATTATGTGTATTTGATCTATTTTTGTTTATTTTGTATACTGAATTTTAGTCTTCGCAATAGCGGTTATTCTGCTATACCGCTACATCAATTTAAGGAGTCGGTGCAATGCAATGCTATCTGAGATTAACAATGAGCTGTCAAACTAGATTATTATGCTTGCCTATAAGAATACGGTATAACTAACATCATTTTGTTTTGTTATGTGTAAAGGTCATGGAAGAAGTGTTGCTGTTATGTGTGCACTGTTAGTAGCACTAGGTATCACAGAGGATTGGAAGACTGCTGAAAAGCTGATAAAGCAAAAACGGCCTTACATTCGCATGAATGCCCTCCATCGCAAGGCACTCGAAGAATGGTCCACAGACAGACTGTCTGTGCCAAAAAGTAAAAGATATGGGGGTGGATTAGTAGACTAAATCTGATTGTTTTTGTCAATTTCAGTTTGATGGTTTTCCAAACAGTACCAACTGGAAGTAAAAAAATGTGTAAAATAGATTCTGCCCGAGCTTCCACTTTCTTAGCATTATTGTTTTCCAATTAATCGAGAACCTGTTCTCTGGTTACTACTAATTGCTCTGTATTTGGCTTCTTCTGCTCGAACATGATAGTGAAAACTCATGAGTTGAACAATGGAATGCTCATATTATGAAAAGCAGGAACACTAGAGAAGACTGCTTCAATGTGTAATGCTCCCATGGATAATGATTATGAGTGTAGTTTGTCCCCAAGTTATTATGATTTATGTCAACTGTTAAACTATCTGGCTCAAAGCTCACTGTTCTTATGATTTATGACACAATGCAAAGACACCTGCAGGGCTGCATGATGTAGAGTCAATTACTCAATTTTATTGCTGTGATATTGTTGTATGATAGTTTGAATGTTCTAAAGATCTTAGTTGGAAAAATTCAACTCTATCAGGTCCTTAATTCTTTGTAATATAGTTTAGTGATTGAAATATTTAAAAGTGTATCAATATGAATATGTTCAAAATTAATTTTAATATTAAGATGATTTTTAACAGAAAGCAGAAAAGTATAATTACGTACATTATAAAGTGAGAGGTAAACTTTGTAATATGTTCAGTAAAAGAAAGTATAGAGAATAATCAACATTTTGTGTTGGGAAAATTGTCTTAAATTGAAAATTAATTAACGTTTTAGTTGATTTTTTAGTAACTTCATTATATGAGTAACATTTTTTTCTATTAATTTTGATTCATATTTATAAAATTCTATTATTAGTTTGACTTAGTCTTCTCCTCAAGAAATTTTTTTTTTAAAGAGTTTTAATAATAATTTGAATGTTTTTAAATTATGTTAAGAACTTTTGTTGCAGTTGAAAAAGAATTACAAATGTGAGTAGTGTACGAGAAGTCTTACATTAGTTAAAAATATACAAATTTAAACATTTATAAGTGAGGCCCCAAAGTAGAAAATGTTTCTTGCTTGATCCTCTGAATTGCGCCTCGCTTGACCCTCTGAATTACATCAACAAATAATATCACGAGCCTTTCATTTCGAGTCAAGGGTCTGACTTACTTGTATAAAAAATACTTAAGATTGTCGCGTTGAAAAGTATCAACAATTATACAAGTGTATATGGAAGAAAAAACTTTCACTTGAGGGGGAGAGACTCACACTTGAAAAGGAGTGTAGAAAAAAATTACAACTGTGAGTAGTGTGGGAGAAGTCCCACATCGATTAGAAATATGAAAACTTGAGTGTTTATAACTGAAAGAGATACCCATATTATATTAAAATTTTGAGTGAGAATGTGATGTGTCTCTCACAATCAGAGGGTCTTTCGCCCGAGATTAAAGAAAAGATAGGTAATTTGTCTTTTCAAAGCTATCGTCCCACAAAAAAATATTCTTGTGATAGGCCCCGTTTCTGGAAAAAAATATAGGGAAAGTGAAATTACCGTTTACTTCTTAAAATATCCTATATACGTAGGCGGGAACAGGGGAAGGGGTCAGATTTATCCCGACGGAAGCAAGAGTAATAATAATGTTTATAATGCCTACAGCAACGGGTGTAGTAAACAAAATAAGGTGGATACGAAATAACGATAGTAGATACATCAGATGGACGTGAAATGATTGATATTATACCCGCCCGAACCAGAACTTCTTGTTTCAGAGGGTGAATCTATCAAACTTGATCAACCATTAACGAGTAATCTTAATGTGGGTGGATTTGGTCAGGGGGATGCAGGATCCCGCTACTAAGAGAGATGTTTACTTCTTAAAATATCCTATATACGTAGGCGGGAACAGGGGAAGGGGTCAGATTTATCCCGACGGAAGCAAGAGTAATAATAATGTTTATAATGCTACAGCAACGGGTGTAGTAAACAAAATAAGGTGGATACGAAATAACGATAGTAGATACATCAGATGGACGTGAAATGATTGATATTATACCCGCCCGGACCAGAACTTCTTGTTTCAGAGGGTGAATCTATCAAACTTGATCAACCATTAACGAGTAATCTTAATGTGGGTGGATTTGGTCAGGGGGATGCAGAAATAGTGCTTCAAGATTCGTTACGTGTCCAAGGTCTCTTGCTCTTCTTGACATCTATTATTTTGGCACAAATTTTTTTGGTTCTTAAAAAGAAACAATTTGAGAAGGTTGTCTGAAATGAATTTTTAGGAATGTCAATTTATCAACATATTAAGCTGGTAAAAAGAACTCCATTTTTGTTGATAAATTCTGTGTAAAGACCTTTGGTTCTTGGTTTTTTTTCAACTGTACAATTAATTCGAACCATATGATTATGTCGCTGATTATATCGTTGTTTTCACATTTTCATGTCCTAGAATAGAAATATTAGAATTTATATTGTAATAGAATTAAATTCGACTCGATACTAAATCTAAAAAAATAGGTAAGTAGATAATATTAAGTAAAGTAGAAAAAGGGAAAACAGGATTCTAGGATGGATAATTTGTCTTTTCCTAGAGTCCAATTCCTTCTTGTTTATGTCGAAATCGATACGTAGTTAAGGAATGGACAAACAAAAAAGATCGGGAATTGAATTAAGCAAATACAACTTTCTTAATTCACTTCAAAAAAAGAATTTAATCACGAGTCTATACTCTATATTAGAAATATATTTATAGTAAGATTTTTTTAGTATCAAAAAGGTTTGGTTCTACAAAATCTTTTTTATGTTCAATAGAATATTAAATATAGTATATAGTTCCCTATTCTTACACATAAGATCCTAAAAAAAGGAAATGGAATTTTTTGAAACATACAATAAAGTTATCTATTGACTCACTGACAAAAATATTCTGATTATGAAGAACTCAACGAGACCCCTTCGAATTCATCAAAGAAAGAGTGGATCCCCGTTGAGTTCTTATGCTTTCATTTTGAAAACTAAATTCATCCGATTATTACAGGGATGATCCCAATCAGGAATATGAATCATAAAAGAAAATACCAATTAAACTGATCACAACAATACCAGCTACAATACCTATTATCCAAAGAGGAATTCTTCCAGTAGTATCGGCCATTTATTCCACTTTCCTCCACATTTGATCAAGTAGTCAGTCATACTAGAGACCTAAACAGTCATAGATAATTATGAAATAATATCTTTCCGAATGGGATAAGAGAATTCCTAATATATATACTATTCTCTTTTCTTCAATTAATTGAATTCTATTAATTGAAAAAATAATTTGAAAATAAAACAGCAAGTACAAAAACGAGTAATAAACCCTAGTATAGACTGGTACGATTCAATTCAACATTTTGTTCATTTGGGTTTGATTGTGTCGTAGCTCTATAATTCGGATTAGGTTTATCGTTGGATGAACTGCATTGCATGGTCCAATCATTGATCTTGAAAATTTCTACAATAAGATTAAGTAGGTTACTAACACAGTTCCCTATCCATGATTCTTCTATTTACTCCAATTCTTTTCCTATAATATAGGAAGAATATGAGTAAAATGTTTAGCTTTTCTATACAAAAAACGAATTTTAGAATTAGATCAGTGCGTCGTTTTTTCTTTCCTTCATTGAATGATAAATGACTACAAGCGACGAAGATACACGATTTAAATAACGGAAAATAGAGTATTTAATAATAGTATCTAAAATGATTGGAAAAATTGAAACAAGACAAGATAGAATCTGATCATTCGGAGTAAATCCAAAATCTTTATAGACAGACCCAATCATTAGTTCCCAACCCTGAATCGAATGGAATCCTATACAAAAATTAGTTAATAAAAGAATAGAAAAAGCTTTTATTGTGTCAGTTAAGTTATATAGAAATTCTTGAACCCAAGAGTTAAGAATAATGAGTTCTTGATTACCTCGAATAGAATAACCACTTAGAATAAGGAAACCGATTATATTTGTACAGAAATGCAAAATCGTATGGATACGATCTAGGTTGTTCGTCTCAATCAATTGGATGGTCTCTTTGTAGATTTCGATACGAAGGTTTTGTAAACGTGTTTCCAGGTATTCCTTTAGCATTTCATCCGAGAGGAACAGTTCCTCGAACTCTATCAATTTCTTTAAAATACTTTTTTCTTGAATAGTATTCAAGACAATTTCGGATTCTTTCATATTCCACCAATTAGTAATCCAAGATTCCAGACTTTTCTGAAATGTAAAAGAGATGCACCAGGGCAAAAAGACTATAGATGTAAGACATAGAAGGGGAATGCATGCTTTCTTTTTTGCCATTTTTCGTCTTTAATGAACTCAGTTTCATCTCATTTTTCAACTATATATAATAATAATCTTTCTATCAAGCATAAGTTCTATTACAAGTAATAGAGCTTAGCCTAGAAATTGAGAAGCTATTCTTTTTATTACAGTTCTATCAATTTATAATTTTTTCATAGAAATTGAGAAGCTATTCTTTTTATTTGTAATTCAGAGGTTAGTTTCTTTTTCCTTCGATTTGAAAAAAGAATCCAAAAGAATACAGAAATCAAATAAGAAAACGAAATAAGCCATTGTCAATTTGAATGAAGAAGAAAAAAAGTGTTTCAAAAGCTATGAATTAAAAATGAAATTGTTTGGATACAGCGATTTCCATTGGTATACTCAAGAATATGGAACGATTTCCATTGGTGCACTCAAGAATCTAGACAAGTCCCAAGCTTTTTGTATAACGTTGCATGGAGTCCTATCATCAACAGGAGTTAAGGGAATGGTCCCATGTTCTCTGGTTTGCATATAAAGGACACTACTACTAAGTTCTGGGTTAGCTTGTAGTATGAGGGACTGAATATCTTCCATACAAACTCAGAGAAAAATACGACGATATGTTCCAGGAAATCCGTAACGAAAAAAACATACCATTCGATTTTTTTTATCGAAAAAATTATAGCCACTCCCCACATTCCAAAAAATTATAAGCCACCAATGTAAACTTA